CTCACATGTCGAACCGTCCACCCAAAAAATCTGGAATGGCTTTCAAACACAATTGTCAATTACCGCACGATTCTTTCTACTAGCTGGAAAGGTCAACCTCAATGTAAACCGAATTTACATATCTGTCAACATTATCCAGAACATATCACCAGATTTGGCCCTCCAGCATCAACGGCTTCCTGGGCTCATGAGAGGTTGAACGGAATACTTGGAAAAATGGCTACAAACAATCAAACAGGTATATAATATTGACAACCCTCTAATGGTTGAATGAAAAGCTGACAGTAGGCAAATCCCTTGTTATTTCAGGAACCTTAAGTAAGACTATCCTCGAGAAGTGGAACATCAAATCTCAGCTGATTTCACTAGTAAAACAATCAGTTCAACTCTCAACCAAAGTTCCATCCAGCATTCTGAAGTGTATGAAGACGAATCAAAGTTGCGCGGAGACAAAAAACGAAAACACTATCACCAAAGATCTGGATGAACTGGTTTTCAATCAGTGGCTCTTGGTTATTCAACCTGCAATATTGTCGCATGTCAGCCTTTCACGCCAAGTAGAATTCCACCAATCAGCAGTCTTCAATCAAAAGCCTTATAGTGTTCAAAAAAGACACATTGGTAACTCAACAATTCAGTTCATACATCAGAAGGTAGTTAAATATGGCTGCATTGACCAAATTTTTTCCAGTAGCCAGCTCCCCAATAAAAAGTTTCTGAATGTCTTGTCCTATGAGGAGCTTGATGAAAATGATATGACAAAGAACCCATACCAAAAATATCCTCATCTTAATTGCAAATTAGTTTACTCCACTTTAGTTTCACCAGTTGTCATAGAAGATAATATGGTTATAAGTCATGCTGCCCTGATCATCAATCTCCCAGGTACCTTTAATGTTAATAGGGAAACTTGTTGCGTAGTGGGATTGGCCAGTGTGGTAAGTCATTTCAAATTCTTATCCATTTAATGTAAACTGAATTTTGTAATAAACCTCCAATTCCTAGGAAATTTCTGATAATGCAGCCGAAAAATTTGTGAATTAAATTATCCACAGCTCTATTTCATTTTCAACTTGAGAGGCTTTGATTGTCTCATATAAATGCATCTTGAACTGTCTTCTACATGTTATCAATTTTTATATGTATTTCCTGGTTCACAATTCTTACACACATAGCTCTTAATTATACAAGGTCTTGGTTTTGCTTAATTTGACATTTCCTTTTTTTAGAATCTTTTGCAGAATTTGCCAACAGAGAACCCAAGAGAAATATTTCCATTACCAAGAGACTCCAACCAGGTTTGAGAACTCCAAAATTTTGCTCACATTGCATACTTTCAATACAGTGTGATAATTTTGTTAGGTCCCAAATATTTTGTTGGAGATGTTTCAAAAATATCCCCTGTTTGAAAATAAATTATTCAGATATTTCAACTGAAAACTAATTTCTGGTTCAGTAGATCAGCACCAACAGTAAAAAATGCAGTAAAGGATGGCTATAGTAAAAGATGTCTGTAGTTGAAGATGTCAGATACATGTAAAATCATACTACACAATACTCAAAATAGATATTGGCCCTATTAATATGTGGATTAATGGTGCCTGGCCCTGTTAATCCACAGATTAATAGTGCCTGGCCCTATTAGTCCACAGATTATTAGTGCCTGGCCCTATTAATCCACAACCTGGCCCTATTAATCCACAGATTAATAGTGCCTGGCCCTATTAATCCACAGATTGATAGTGCCTGGCCCTATTAATCCACAGATTGATAGTGCCTGGCCCTATCCAGAGATTAATAGTGTCTGGCCCTATTAATCCACAGGTTAATAGTGCCTGGCCCTATTAATCCACAGGTTAATAGTACCTGGCCCTATTAATCCAGAGATTAATAGTCTGGCCCTATTAATCCACAGATTAATAGTAAGGTGTTATTAATGGTGTGATGAACTGCCCCTTTCACCCCACAAAGCTGAGGAAGTTGAGGTTTGAGGAATTCCCCACTGTTATCTGACACTACAGATTTGGGATGCTTGTTGAGGTTTCAGGGTTGGTTGATTTCTTGACTTGAGCAAGGAAGGTTTTGAACAAGCAAAAAGTATGAGACTTACATCATATGCAGCATTTAAAACAATACTTGCTGTACCCCTGATATAACCAACAGAATAAGCAACTGGAAGCTCCAATCAAACAATCTTTTTGGAGTGGACTTTATTATCACTCCCAGTTAGCCTTATAAGTTATACCATTTGTTTCATTTTGGTTGTGGCAATAACTAAATTGAAATTATCATAAGCCCGTGGAATTTTGTAATCACTAACAAGAAGAGCTTGCATTAGTGTAACCTGATGTAACCTAACCAAAATTCTGGATACAGTCAATATACACCACAAATTATTTGAATTATGATAACTATGAATTCAATATGATGTTAACTGTAAAGAATACTTGACACAGATTAATAGCGTGTGGCCCCATTTATCCACAGATGAATAGTGTGCGGCCCTATCATTCCACAGATTAATAGTGCCTTGCCCTATTAATTCACATATTAATATTGTATGGCCCCATTAATCCACAGAATAATCCTATCTGGCCTTATCAATCCACAGACAAGCTAGTTTATCTCACAATCTGGTCCAATTTGGGAAGTTTCTCAAGTCTGACTGGCTGTGTGCCCAATAATCCCTCACACCCCCTTAATTCTATGTTATGAATAGTAGAGAATGATTCAAGGTTACTTGAAATTGGCCTGTTCAAAACCCCACAGAAGCATAGTTAAGGTCTGATTTCCCTCAAAGTTTGAACCAATTTAGGGGTTTTCTTGGTTATGGCCAGCTGTATCCTCAATAATCCTCAGGTTCATTCCTACACTTTGTATTCAAATCAGTAAAAGAGATTCCTGGAAGGTTATGGACCAGCATGCTTTGTTCAAATTTCACAGTTTGGAAACACCAAAGAAAAATCAATAACATCCTATTAAAACAAAGAAACTCTTTTACTTTTGGATATATTGAGTGATAAAAACAAAGCTGAAATTCTTTTTTGACCTCTTTTTCACTCCTCCCTGAGAAAGTTCATGGGTAACAAGTTGCACAAGCTAGAATACAAACTTCCAGAAAGCCACACAGCTAGTTTGAGGACATCCTTATCCATGTTAGATGGTTGGGACACCTACAAGTACTACAAGATCAGTGCTATTCTATTTTCTCACAATCTGCATATTCTTTTATGTTGGGGAAAACATACAATTGGTCCTAGTGAAAGAATAATAGAACATAAATGTGATAGAGACTTTCGAGCCTGAAGTGGGGATCTTGGATGTATAGATTGGCCATGTAAAAACTTCCTGACAGTGTTGAATGTTCAAATCAAATGAAAATAAAAGACACCAAACTTGATTTTAGAGGTTCATTTTCACTCTTCTTCTAGCTGGAATAGAAGATTACTGAAAAACAATGTAAATCTTGTTCCTTTTGAAAATCTTGTTCCTTTTGAAAATTGGGATAGTTTTTTGTGGTGTCTGCTAGTCATGGAAGATATAATTCAATCAAAACTGAACCAAATAAGTTGCCAGAAAGTTGTCTTGAAGGAGGCTCAGAATTTATGTAGCATCAAGATCACAACACAAATGATATACTAATTACTTCTTTGTAGTTTCAGTTTAACTTCCTCCTCACCTCCTCATAACATTTTTTTACAGATTTTCTTTTCCATTTTCCATTCTTGAAGCACTGCACTTTGTTGGTTACAGCATTCCTGTAGGAGGTTTTCACACTGATGACACCTTGATAGCAAAGTTTATCTTGGGCCAGGCGAAACTTGTGCATCTTGAAATCACAAATTTACATTTATAAAATCTTGGGGGTTACTCTTGTAAGGAAAAATTGCACAATTTGACCAGCTGTGATCTAATAAATGTGATATTAGAAAAAATAACATGCTTCATTTGGGTTGTTCCCCCACAGACCCATTTGAAACAGTCACGCAGGATTATTCTTTGAGACAATGTAAATCAAGATAGTGATGGTTGAGAAGATGCCAACCACGAAATTGAAAAACTTGAGGCCACAACTTGAGCAAAAACTGGTGGGGCCCATGGCGAACCTTGAGTAATTCATGTTATACTCTGCTTCAACCGGATCATTTTGCCTGGTTCTATGCAAGACTCGATGTGGCCGGAAATCTTGGCTCAACAAAGAAGTTGCGGCTGCTGCGTCTTCAAAGGAACGACTGAGCCGTTTTGCCTGTGGTTTCAACTTGGAAGGAAAAAAACAGAGAATAAAAACTGTAAAAATTGAAATTAAAAATCGTTTAATCACCCAGCACTCCAAGCCAGCCTCCTCCATCTTCTTCGCAGCGTGTCACCGTCCATCCTATCCCTCATCCTTATAAGCTCTTGTTGACAATTCCCTCACACTACTCCCTGAGTCAGGAGGAAAAAAAGACTCTAGATCTCAAAAACGCTTGAGATACTCCCCAAAAACCTACAGAATCCAATTTCAACCCCTCCAAGTCGATCTACGTACGATCCACCGCCCTGCCCTTTGCCTCCCCCTACTTGAGCCATCAAGAGAAACGACTCATTGTCTACACCTGCATTTTTCAAAATTGTTGATCTTAAACAACAACCAAGGCTTTCCATCTCGCGTAATCACTCAAGTTGCTCTCACACGTCTTCTCCCAAGCTTCTACGAATTTATCTTTCAAGTCTCAACCAAATCTGGACGACCAGAAACAAACACACAGTGGTCGCTGAAATCCTCAGGATCTTTTCTAAGATTATTTATCAGTTTACTCTCGTCGGAAAAAAGTGAGTCTTTTTTCTTTCTATGTGCTTGATCAGAGGATACATGATGGAAATGGATTTAGATGGACAAAACAAACGTTGAAGATTTTGAAAAAACCGTAGGTCAACAACACTGGTGATCTTTCTACTGCTATATCTAAAAGTGATCGAATCGGAAGGCTTACTAGAGCTATGAAAGATGGGGATCTTGTTAGTCTTGCTGCTGGCTTCGCTTGACTCGTTCCATCGAACAGGGGATGAACTGTCTTGAGGCCGACCAGAAATCGAGCCTTGAATCGGCCCTCAGAGGCTTGCTGCATAGCGGTAGACTCTCCGCTACTGGTGCCAACGGACTCCACTCTCCTAATCTCATGAAGCCAAGGTAACCCACATCCCATTCCTATCTTGCTATCTTTTTCCCTCCCTTCTTGAATCATACTCTCCCTCCTCCGATGCTGACGTAACGCTTCCTGATCGTTTTCTGTCCAGATCAATATCAATATTTCTCCTGACTAACACTGACAAGGCCGCCTGAGATTGCTTCTCTCCTCACATCTAATTCTATTAACATTAAGTGAATTCAAAACAATGTCGGTCATTTAAACAGGCTAAGATTTTTTTCTCTTGTTCATTTTTTCATTTTTCCATCTTTTTTTTTGGAGGTCATCCTCGTTTTGAACCGATTCTTCAAAATGGGCCTCATCAAGCCCTAGCCGACCTCCAGTGAAGAGAACCGCCACAAAAGTAGCATCCAATGTCACTTCAGATGGACCCCCGATTGCAAATTTCTCACCCCCATCTGTCCGCCATCCCACAAAGCCAGAATTTGACCCAGAAACCGATTGCGGGACTGCATCAAAGCGATTGAGGTACGCAACATTGTATGATATTGTATTGATTGGCTTATCTGCTTGAAAGATTGAGCCAATCATTTGTGACTTTGGAAAGCCGTTCCATCGTCAGCCTTCTTTAGCGTGGGTCCAGGTGGATGTATCTCCGTGTATCACACCCGGTACCATTGAGGCAAATCGGCCGGCCCTCCATTTTGCCGTGATACTTTATTCCAAAATTTCTTGCTCTGATCCTTTGAACCATGCTGACGATTGACTTGCAATATTAATCTATCATAACCACTGACCGCGATCGCTTGTAAAGCAGGTGTAACTTGGTAAGCCTTTGTGATTTGTCAAGATACATCAGGTGCTCACTGTTAAGCGCGTTCCTAATCATCACAATGCCCATGTCAGCAGAGTAAATCATGTCATTTGAACTCCAATCAATTACAAGTACTTGTTTATTGAAGCTTGTTTTCTCTGCTTTTTTGCCTCTTACAATTTTATGTGATGGTGAAAAACACAACAAAAAAAGTGAGAAACGAGGAGATAAGAGGAGGCACCAAAACCGATGAATCATGTAATTGCTGGGTTCCTGTTCTCGCGTCTAATTGACATGTGCAGAGAATGTCAATCTTGAAATGCAATGTTCTCAAGTTCTCATTGATTTCCTGTTTGATGCACAACCTGACATATTGAAAAAGGAAAGCAACACGTATGGAGTGCACAAGCCCTAGCATGTCGAGAGCGGCAAAAAAAGAGAGAAAATAGCTGAAAAATTGGCTCAAAGCAGGATTCATCAGAAGGCACAACCCTGGAAGTGTGTCAGACTAGGTTTACACACTTCAACCCCTGGTTCAAGTTGTGTTGAGTTTAGTGTACGCACATAGTGAAAAAATCTTACAAATATGTTGTGGGCATCATCAAATTATCAGATATTAGTGGCCATATTTCTAGGTGGAAAGCCCCTCCACATTTTTTTGGAATAAAAAAACCAACTATTGTATTGATAGATCTTTCCAAACTTTGGGTCCTTTTTTTGAATAATATGAGGTCAACTGATAACAGCTTATAAAGGATGCAATTTCTTGAAAAAAAAATGAAAGATTTGGGCTAATTTCTTGGAAGATTTTGGCTATTATTTTGAAGATTTGGGCTATTTCTTGGGTCAAAGCTGTTTCAAAAAACCTTAAACTAGGGTTCAAGGTGTGGAGGACTGTTTCAACAAACCTCAAACCAGAATTTAAGGTGTGTAGAACTGTTTCAACAGACCTTCAACCAGGGTTTGAAGTGTATAGGTGTGTAAACCCAGCAGGTTTACATTAAACCAGGGTTTAAGGTATGTAAACCCAGCAGGTGGACATACTTTAAAAGAGGGTTAAAGGTATGTAAACCCAGCAGGTTGACATACTTTAAAACAGGGTTAAAGGTATGTAAACCCTTCATGGCAGCACAAACCAACTGGTTGGTGCATATGGTTTCTTATTGTGGAATGAGATCATCTTTTTTTCTGGAGGAATTTGACATTTGTTTCAGTATCATCAAGGAGGCAGAAATAAACACTATTTGGAAACAAATTACCAGAAGAGAATAATATCAACAGATTCAGAGAAAACAAGCACACCATAAGAATCAAGTGGGAACTATATAATTCAACTCCTTGGGAAGGTTTTCTATTCCATCAGGATGTTCTTGGGTTTCTCCGTGAATACTTATTTGATACACGCAAGTCAGGTCGTGATTTCCATGATTAGACCTAATTTTGACAAGAATCTTAGAGTAAAGGCTGGTTTTGGGTGAAGATACTGCAAAATATTGGATGTTTTGTGCAGCTTTTATATCATAGGTCCCTACATGTAGTAAATCTAAATTTTCTTGGTGATTCAAGCCCAATCCCCAGAGCTCAAACTTGTTTGGCGCTGTTCGAATATCGTAGGCCACGGTGTGAGAGACATGTGAAATAGTAATACCCGTGATATGAATAACTCGTGAAAGTTGAATCCCGATCTGCCCCTTTTCGCCGGAAAATGGCCAACATACTCCGAGGCTGAGGTCTGAAATGAGTACCGTGATTGGAGGATTTCCTTCCACCTTCGAACGTTTGTTGATGAATGTAGAGTCTGAATTGAGATAACGATACCATGTTGGAGACGTCCAGGATTGAAGAATGTTTGCACCGGCAGGAAAAGAGGCGAAGTTTTTTCTAGGGGAGGCATCCATTAAATTTGGGATCATTCCATTTGAAGTTCTGTGGGCTTCTGAGTTTCCGTTTGTCGAATGCTCGGCTTGGAAGAGGCTGAAATCGTGTTTTGTAACCAGGTTCGAGGTCGCACTCATGAGACTTCGAATGATCTTACTTTTTTCCTCAACTTCTATCTCGAGTAATTTCAATCGTTCGTTGATGCCATATACTTCGGATTGGAAATTGAAGACATTTTGTCGGAGATCTGGATAATGTATTTAGCTATCTATACACAATCTGACTGAAACCCGGCAAACTACTCAACTTGTCAAAGCATGCAATAAGATGCATGTGCCCAAGGCTACCAGCCATTTGCGCATGAAAAATTTGATCAGGGATGCAGCAGCCCTACCAATAGCACCGACCATTCCTGTGTTGTCGGCTGTGTGAAATCGGTTTGATGTTGCTAAGATATGCCGCTTCCACAAGTCACAACTCGTTACTCTTCCAGTATTGTGACAGGTGTCATTTTGGTAACATGTCATATCAGCTGGGCCTGGGAGGGTGTACCTTTTGCCAACCCTTAACCCCTTACATTATGTCAGGCTGAAGCCGCTAATCCTGCCTCTGGGCCCTATTTGTCCTCTGCTCCAATCTGCACTGGCCCAGCCAAACCAAAAATGGCTCCAATGTGCAAGATGGAAGGAGGCTTGTGCAATGAGAGATCACCAGCCTCTGGATCATAGTCACCACCCCGGGAATTTTTTATAGAAGTCCCTTGCCTGAGGAAAACCACTTGGTTTTGTGGTGAAAATAGAATATGGCTCTTTGTAGAATAATAGGGCCACAGGCACTGTTGGGTATGAAGAACAGTGTCTGAATTAAAGCAGAGGTGGTACTGTTATTGGTGAATACCAGGGCCATAGGGACTTTTTTTGACAATAAAATTGTCTATGGTACTGCTCTGGTGACTAGCAGGGCCATAGGGACTATTCTTGGGGATTAAACAGTCTCTGTGGTCCTATTATTCATCAAGAATAGTCCCAGATGGCCTGTGGCACAGTTATTGGTGAATAACAGTGCCTATGGAGTTATTGTGAGTAATGAAAGTACCTGTGACTGTTATTGAGGAATAAAAGCACTGTTATTTATTAAGGAATAACAGTGTTGTTAGTCCTTAATAACGGTACTGTTATTTATTAAGGAATAACAGTACTGTTAGTCCTCAATAAAAGTACTGTTATTTATGAAGGAATAACAGTACTGTTGTTCCTTAATAACAGTACTGTTATTAAGGAACAACAGTACAGTACTGTTATTCCTATAACAGTACTGTTATTAAGGCCTCAATAACAGTACTGTTATTGATTAAGTAATAACAGTACTGTTATTAAGGCCTCAATAACAGTAC